GAAAGGATATCAGTCAGTGGAAATGAGTCTAGCAAAAGGGGCTTTACCTGAGAATAACCAAGTTCCCTAAAGAGGGGATTACCCTTAATTTTGAAAATGATAAGTCACACTGAGTATGACAAAGTACAAATCACATTTATCAGTAACAGACTAGGAATGATCCCTCCCCACAATCCTCATTCTATTCTGTCTGAATAGCAATGAAAAGTTATCTTTTCAAAAAACACCTTCATAAGTTTATTGCTTATATTTAAATATATATACTTATGGTTTTTAAAGTAAGACTAAGTGGAAAGAAAACCAACTCATCTGTGCCTCGCAATGGACTTACATCTCAAAAATGCTCTCTTAAATAAGAAATGCTCAGCCCACTAGTTGCTAAAAGGCTTCAATCGATTGTTGATATTCTCCATTAAATATGTACATACATAGATAATCTGACATAGACTTACTTTAAAAATCTAAATTAAAATATTCAGACTTCCAATGCATGTACATAGAAGCAGAAAAAGTTAGCAATCTAATTAATGGAACTTCCAGTTTGCTGGCTAACAAATAAAGTGATCTAATTTTAAGGTACAAGAACAAATGCACATTAATTTAACCATGGTCTCCAGAATTAAGAAGGTGTGTGTCACCGGGTACAAAGGGTCTTCTGCATATGTGATGAGAATCTAGGCTACATCACTGTTCATAGGTTAAGGAGGCCATGTGCTCCCTTTCTGAAAAGGAATAAGTTCGATGTCTAGAATTTAACAGTAATAGGGAAAAGATTAGAGCTCTTATTTTAAAAGACAAATGGAAGATATAGTATCAATCTTGAAATACAGACATGAGCAAATTTACTCCACACTTGGAATACAAGCACTATGTACTTTAATATGCAAATTTAAGCAGCTACCCCATAATATCACCTCTACTAAAGCTTTTCATTTCTCAGTAAGCTCTTTGACAAAGTTAATGTATCACAAGTAAATACACACGACTGTATTCTATGTCAGTTGATCTTTGGCACATCTGTCACGTTGGAGACTCTCAAAAGGCAAGAAAAATGTCTAATGACTGTTTTGCACATTCTTTTAATCATCTTTACATCAAAATATAAGGCCGCAAGAAGGCAAGCTGAAATTTTCAGATATGTGGAATAGTTTTAATAAAGTTTTACATACAGTACCTTACATATAGAACAGTGTGTTTGCAAATTTAAATAATATCTGAATGTACAGTGGCATGTATTCTTATCAAAGATAAATTCAAGTTCACTGTCTATCAGTTCTAAAATGCATTTATACAGATTGCTAGAACTGATAAACAGAATGAGGCATAAAATATTCAAGTGTTATATGTCCTCAAATAGCCTCCTCTTAACAGTCTTTTCCCCCTTTTTAAAAAAGTTTCAAAACCTGTACATACATCTTTTAATTTTTAAAAACAGTCTGTTAAAAGGTAACATTTCATGTTAACCACCAATTCTTATAGTCTATAGTAATAAAACTAGATATGTGTAGATATAAATATGTGTCGATTATGTACATATGTACGTTGAGCGTTTGTTTCACACAAGCATCCACACTTACGCAGACCTACGCGTGGAGCACGGGGCACACAGCTCAGAGCACTGCGGACAGGACGACCTGGGCTCAAAATCCAGCAAGAGCTAACACAGCAACTTAGTTGCCTTTGGTTTCAGAATTTGTCCATTTGTGATCAAAGCTAAATGTTTTGAGTGCGCACGTATTTTTTTTTTAAAATAAAATTCATCTTCAGAAATGAAGGTTTTCCAGTATTCCACTACCAGCAGTTTAAAAAAAATCCACAGCCACAAATTATTTTGATAGCTTTGTCACTCCTCATCCCAGCCGAGGTTATTTACAATTTTTTTTCTGAAGGCAAACACCGAACATACTCAGGATCAAATAGTATGTTGAAGCCTGAATACTGTGATTCAACCATATATATTATATATGTAGCATATGTGACATATATGTTTCTGATGGGCTGGTGGCATTATGTAAGACATGGTGTGGGAGACTCCCACAATATTTAAAATTCTCTTTCCACCAGTATCATCATCATTTGGCACACTGACCCTTCTGCAACCCATTTTGTTTTCAATGAGCTTAATGCCCGCAATAAATTCCAATTATTTGGTGTTTGTTTTTAAAATATATTCATAATGTAGTAAAAATTCCACAATTGTTTTCCCCAGAAGTGAGACTTCTACTGTCAGTTTTCTGATTGAGGACATTCGTCACCTAAGAAACAGCTCATGATCCTATACAAATTTAAATACCGTCAACTTCCATGCAGCTACAGCGGCTGCAAAGATGGTTCTTAGAGCAACCTTACAGAGCTCTCCAGAATGTAGGTTTCCTCTACCATTTTGTTTTTGGCCAGATGCTGGTTTATAAACATGGATCTTCCTACTAAAAACTATATAAATACACCATATTTCTTTCTACAGGTATCTCAAGCTTCATGGAATCAACTATTCAAAAATTCTGCCAGTTCAATTCCCTTCGTCTAGATTAGATTCTACCTTTGCTCATCCTTGGCATATAGCACGTTATCATTTGTAGCTTACTCACAAATTTTTTTCAAATTAGCTTCCTTAATAAAGTTGTTCATTTTCCTTTTCAAGGTGCCATCTCATTGATGTCACAAATCAATAAATGACCAAACGTCACTAAGCTTCTGAACTATCCACTTAGCAGTCATGTGGATAATAAAAATCACGGGACTGAAGACAGCCACATTCCTTTCTGTCAGTTTTCACTGCTGTCATACAGAACAAAGAGTTGCTATCTGCTGTGCTTTGCCCATGTCGATCAGAAGCTGTTTGATGTGGCGTTTGAGTTGGGGCAGTCTTGTGAGAGGGTCAGGCGGCTCCAACTCCCCTGTGAAATCAAGCCAGCTTTCCAGAACTAAACAAGAGAAGAGAACAAGCAATTTAAATGGCAAAAAAAAGGTAACGTATCAGGTTGGAAAAGTGATGGAGACAGAGTTCACACTTCCCTTTCTCTAGAAGGCCAATATACACAAGCCCTTTCTGAGAGGTTCGGCGTCCTTTAGAGCTTATCCCACAAGAATTCTAGTCCCTCTTGGTAACCTTCATCTGTTATTACTGCAGATAATTTTTCATATATATACACACTCACACACACACACACACTTATGCAGACTTCCAAAGAACACAGTTCAATAAAATAAATCTCTCTCCTAAGTGCTCTACACTAAGCCTGGCAGAGGGGCAGTATTTAATAAATATCCACCTTAAAAATATCTGAGGTAATATTTAGTCATGTTGTCTTGAGCAGAACAGACCCCAAATGGCAGCTGAGTGAAGTCATGTAAAGGGGGCGGCAAAGCTCCCTCGGGAGGGGGAGCACCTGCAGTTTCCACCCCACGATTTAAAATCCTTATATGACTTCTTCATAATCACACACACACACTTTACACACTATAGCAGCTGTAGTTTAAGTAGTTTTTTTCTTAAATTACCATCAACTTCCTTTTCTATTAGGTCCATCCTGCTGGCAACTTCGTTCTGCACGTTCTCAATGTGTGTGAGGAGATTGAGCTGCCACTGAAGGTGTGAGTCTCCTGGGTCCTCCGTGCCTTTCTTGTCATTATACACAAATACCGTGTTCTTTTCAGCTGGCTTCTTCTCCAAAAGACCATTGGAAAAAATAAAGAGTTGGATGACATGTACCATCATTAAAAAAAGATTAAAAACCTCATCACCTGCAAGGATCGGGGAAATACAATCTGACTCCGAGTATTGTTAAAGGAAGGCTGGCACATAACACGTCACATCTGATGGCCCTAAGAGCAGACAAGCCCACCATGTCTCCCCACAATGACCGCAGCACAGTGTTACACATGGCCGAAGGCACTGAATAAAATGTGCGAAACAAATGAAGTCACTAATTATATCCTATAATCACAACACCCAGCTAATCTGGACTGAAGACGCCCTCAATTAACCTAAACTGGTGAAATAAGGAGCACAAAGGCAAAAGGCAATGATGGAAAAATCAAGAAAGGCGGCAAAGATCAGTATTCAGTCTAATTAACCGTAGACTGGACTTGACTGATGCAGTTAAATCAATGAGGCGAGAGAAAAATAAGAATCTTTAGAAACTTAAAAAGCAAACTGTTTAACACACACATAACCAATGTGAACTCAGAAATAACCAACTTCATAAAAGGGATTACACAGCATAATTTACCACAAGATTTATGAAATACAAGCTTCCCAAATTAAGTATTTATAGTGATTACTTGATAAAGGAAGCCAGAAAAATAAAGAACTAATTTTAATTATTGCTAATTGAAAGTAAATTAAAAAAATAAATGAAAGCACATGTTCTAAGACAACCTAATATATAGGAAGTAAGTCTATAAACAGTCAATGTACACACAGCTCTGAGAATTCCGCTGACTGTACAATGGGGTTGATATGTATATACAAATATGCTAATATTTTAAACAGGACTAAAGTGCCAGCTTTTATCCGAGACACATAAAATGAAAAATTATATTAAAATATATAGGCACCCATATGCACTTTCATGTTCTCACACAATTTTCATTTCAAATAAAATGTGGCTATTTTTTGGAGGTATCTAGGCGTGCTTCTAAAATTGAAACTTTTGTTAGGGCAAAAGTTTACTGAATTACTACAATTCTGAATTAGGGAATAATTAAATGTCCAAGCAGCCAGTGTTTTCTTGTAGAGAAAGCAAAAAATGTTTTTACCCTAACAAAGTACTCGTGAACTTGGAAAATGTATGTAAAATCTGGGAGTTCAGTACGCATGATTATATAAAACTTTCCTTTGCTGGTCTATCACATTTTTCAAGCACGACAAATGTACGAGTTATACCTTTTCAGGCATTCCATCTTCTTTTACTGAGTATTGTAAGCAGCTTCTATCTCTCATGCGGAATTCTTGCTCTTCTTCAAAACTACTAACGTCATCATCATCTGAGCTCCCAGGGTCTACAAGAGCTCTGCAGTCTTGACCAAAACTTTGTGGTTTCTGGTAGCTGTGCTCACTTGTTATATAAGTTCCTTCCATTTTCAGGGGCAAACGAGGTGGCTCTTTATGGTTTTGTACATGATATTTCTTTTCTTCTACATTAACCGTGTCTTGCACTGTTATTTTTTTCTCTACCCCAGCAGTTACTTGGTCTTGGTCTTTTCGCTTCCCAGAACAAGCCCAGAGATGAAGGTCAGGATGATGTTTATTCCTTAGAAAAAAAAAAAAAAAGAAATCAGAGAAACAGCAATTCAGAAAAAAAATCCAGCAACAAGTTTAATACAACCAATTTCAGAATACAAAATTTTGTGTTCAGAAACCCTTTGTTTCTGAAATTATACATTTTATCTTTTGGACCCCTAAGAATTTAATATCTAGAAAACACTAAAATTCTTCAAATGGTAAAAGGTACAGAAGAAAGCAAGCCTGTCTCGTAGTCCAACAGTCCAGTGGGCTGAGTCCTGCTGTCCCTCTGAGGAGCTCAGAGAAGTGACATACCTCTGACTACCCTCCATCAAACAGGTAAGATCTCATTTTCAGGCTGATCCAAGGAATACAAAGTCATATGAAAGTATAAATTCCTGGCATGTAGTAGACTTCCAATAAATCGTAGCTAATTATAAAAATTACATTACTGGAAATATTAACATAAAGAAGGCTTATAGGCATGAGGCCAAAATGGTCCAGTTAAAATCCTTAGCAAAGTTATGCGTGCATAAAAATTCATACTGATACCAAAGACAGTCAAGTCTAAAACAAAATAAAAAGGCTTATTAGTTATATTAAGCTATTGGGTTGTTGGAAAAGTCATGACGTATTTTTTCTATGTTTTTCGTTGCAAAAATGCGTCATGACTTTTCCAACAACCCAATAGTTCCTGCCTCACATTTTAGCATTTGCCTGGCCTTTTTCCAAAGAAATCCATATTTAGGTTTATGATACACAAGAGAAACAAGTTTTATTCAACCAGCAGTAACTGTGCACGACAGCTACACTAAGCACCAGGGATAAGGTGAACGAACAAGCAAGCCCCACCTCAAAGGAACCCATGGTTCGGTAAGGCATGACAGACAGACCAAACCAAGTGCATGACACCACCTCACGTGGGGTTTCCTAAGAAGGGTGTCGTCAGCGCTAGTTGGGCAGATCATCATGGAAAGGCGTCTGCTAGTGGCAGCAGGTTATTGTGCGTGTGAGTCAAGGCCTGGAGCTGTGGAAAGCATCCCATGCTTCACTCAGGGATGATGGTTTGGCACAGCTGGAACGCTCGGGGGGAAAACTAGGAGGGAAGACACGGCAGTAAAAGGGTAGAGTGTGCATCCCGGAAGGACTGAGTGCATGGACTGAGGAGCTAGACTATTCTCTGAGCACCAGGGATCTACTGGAAAACGTAGCTGGGAAGAGACAAGCTCATATTCATCTTATCCTTTCCTATGATCACAGTGGCAAGAGGATGAAGGATGAGCTGAAGGAGTACACGACTGGGGCCGCAGAGAATTAAAAGGAGGTGGCCACTGTCCGCGTGAGAAGAGCCGCCTGGCTGAGACAGCACCCGCGAGGAGGCGGCACGGCCTGCTCAGCGGCAGGAATCACAGGGGCGGAAGCGCTGGGTGCACAGTCAGTGTGGGCGGCCCCAGGAGGTGAGGCGAGCAGGAGGAAGGGCGTTTCTGGCCCCGGCAGGAGCATCAGAACGAAGAAAACCTTGTGAGGGACCAGCGATTCATCCTGTTTTTATATAAATATGTGTTCTGTGGTTTTTTTTAAATAAGAATTCCAGCCAGGACTAAGGAAGTCAAGAACATGCTGACATGTTGTTTAGGGAGGCTCAAGTCTATTGTCTGACGGAACAATTGTCTGGAGTGTTCAGCAGAGGAATGGAAGACATGACCTGTCGGCTCCCTTCCAAGTCAATCTTAAGGTAATTTAAAAATAGACTATTGAATCTATTCCATCTTGACAGCATTCCAGGATGTAAAACACAGGGTTCACCGCAGCGAATGTGCTTCATTTTGTGAGCGTTGTAAGCGCACAAAGCAGTAGGAGGGGGCGAACATTTTGTTGAAATGCTAGCTGTTGCATCTACCTTCAGCCATGCTGATCTACTCCAGGACAACAGGCATGAAGCAGCTATCCAGCCAAACAGCTATGAATCTTTTCTTTTTGTAAGTTAAAATTTACTCAAATAACGATTCTGTCTTCCAAACTGCTCATCTGACCCTTTGAAAGGCCGAACGATTCGTCTGAATTAGCATGCATGCTACAGCGTGACCCTGCCAGGTCACCCTCACTTACTTGAGTATGCCGATCTTTAGCTGTAAGCCGTGCAGGACTTTCGCAACACCACAGACATCCGCGAGCAGGTGATGTGTGGAAACTATCTTTTTGGCATTGAGATGAGAATAATTTTCCTTTAAAAATGACAACCCGCACATTTTCCCGTTATTCAACCAGTCCTTATCGTAACGATATTTTGCACTCCACCTCTGACCTGTAGATGAAGTTGACACTAAAGTCACAACGGATTCCACTCGTTCAGCTTTACATTCAACCGCGACCCCACTCACATCACTCAGTAAGCAAGGCGATCTCTCGTACAAAGAACCAATTTAAAAGAGCAAGACAGCATTTTGAGGATTTCCTGACCACTAAGGAAAACAGGCTCTATTCAGGATGCACTCAGCGGCAGAGGACACCTGCGAAAGGAACCGAGTGTACTGCTTTCCATCTTTTATGTCTGTCATCTGTCCTCCAATAAGGCTGAGAGGTCTGGAGAGAAACTAGAAGGGGAGCCCATTTCTCTCACTGACCTTCACTCTGAACTGGATGAAACACAAGTTCTAGTTAAGTGAACAGGACCCCTCCCCATGTCTGATATCTCACAGAATCCTATAGGATCCTATGTCTTCAATGTCAACAGTAATTATATCCCACCATGATTTGCTGCTGATGTGTCTGTGTCCCTACGACACTATGAGATAGCGGAAGGCATGGTTAGAATCAATCATCTCATTTACCTCTTGCCAGTGAGGCAAACAGAAGGCAGCCAATAAATGCTGCTGAATGAATGAGTGAAATGTCTACATTCATACAGGTCTGAATAGTTCTGCTTTTTAATGTTATTTTTCTGACAGGCATGTGAACAATTCGCCTTTTATTTGAGAATATCTAGTTATTTTCAGCCTCAGAAGCTGAAACTGTGCATAGTACAAAGGACCCTGCTATGCTAATAGCCTCTCGCGTGGCGGAGGGCACTAAATGGAAAGCACGATGGATGGGGAGTCAAAAGGCACCGTTCTCATCCCTGTTCTGCCATGTGCACAAGGCATTCGGCTTTCTGTGTCCCAGCTGCCTCGTCAGTGAAATAAATGGGTCCGATGAGACCCCATCTGCTGTAAAATTAGATGGATACACAGCACTATCAGCAACTTGGATGAAACCATGTCAGGAGGTAAGCTCAGAATACAGCTCCAATCCAACAGCCATGCATAAACCTGTTCAGAGACCTGCACACGGGAGCATACTAAGCGGCGACTCTTTCACCAGGAAAAAACTAACTCTCCTCCCAGTAAGGTAGTAGTTATGTTGATGAATTTATGGTAATGTTTCTTCACCTAAGTAATTAATATGGAAAATAAAACTGCGACGGTGAAAAACACTTGAAAATTTCAATAGGGAAGCCGAGTTTAACTGCCAGGAAGAGCTGGGGTCTGACACAGCTGATAGGCTCTGGGATTCCTAAGAAGACACGCAGGCGCCCGGCAGTCACAGTGACAGGAGTCTTACCAGGAGGGTCTCGGCAGACGTAGCAGATGTACTGCTCTGGGATGCTGTCTTCCAGCAGCCCCATGCACACGCTGTGCTGCCAGCACAGGCACTCTTCACACTGCCGGGAAACAGGACAGTCACGCTCTGCTCTCTACACACACAGGCTCCCTTCCCTTCAGGGAGCCGGCTTCGGCCCCTGCTGCAGCCACCAGCTCAATCTTATTCCACAAAGCAAAAGCAAGGGATGGCGGAAGACGAATTTTGTTTTTGAAACAGTCAACTATTTCAATAATTTACTTTTGTTGCACCTATTACAAGGTGCTTTGATAAATTACTTAAATCATAAAAAAGTCATAAAACTATTTCCCACTGATCCCTATGCAATTGCATGCTTAAAACATTTTTTAAAAAATGGCTTATTCAAGTGCAAAAGTGTTTTTTAAAAAGGCAAGTTTGTTGCAGTGCCTGTAACAACAGTCTCTTAAAGTATCACCAGTGGGTGAGCCTTTAAACCTGTAGCTCCCTTATCTAAAACCACTGAAAGGGGTGAAAAAAAGATTACTATTTTTACATCCCTGTAACTAACGTCTCCACATCTTCCAAATGTCATCACAAAATATGGGTTATACTTCCCTTTTTTCTTAAAGATCCTCTTTCAACAGGGAGAGGCTGTTTGTAATGGTTAACCTTGCAACAAAGCTTTCCTTTCATCTTTCAGAACAGGGGAAACATTTATGTCTCCATAGCTGCCTGCTGCAGGCTGACCATGTAGCATAAATTACTGTAACAACAGGGATCGAGACCAGGAAGACTAGGGCTGCTATGGTCTACCCTTCAATGTGGACGCTCACCCATCTCAAGGGCTCCCGAAAAGAATTTCAGCTTACAGGCCTCAAACGAAACACCCTAGCAAAGGAAGCGTGACCCTCAAATAAGAAAATGTCTACTTCTTGGATGAAGAGATTTCCCATTCATCACTGCTGGTATTTTACACACGGTGCGTTAGAAAGCTCCATCTCCAACAGGACGGCTTGTAATGGGAACAGGAGCCCGGACGCACTCGGTGAGCACCTGGAACGACTAACTCTGGACGGCAGGGAGGCCTTACCTGGATCATGAAGCCGTTCTCCTCATCCATTTCACAAATGCATCGCACAATTTCATTAAGAGCATCGTCTTCATCCTGCGATTCCTCAAAATTGGTGGAGTCAAAGTCCTGATTGTACTCATCCCCACTGAGAAGCAAACTCTCCGTTGAAGAATCATCTAGGAATTCCACATCTGTTAAGTCTAGAATGCACATAAAAGTATACTCAGCATATTTTTCCATTTTTGTATCTTTTTCCAGAAGGGTGCTATGGGAAGTGTCTATAAGCTGATAACTATTTAGAAAGGGAGGGCAAACAAATGACTAGACTGTCTGTCTCTGGACAAAGAAACAGATGACTTTTGAAGCTCAGGTAATTACGAAGCTTCACATCTGAATGTATACATAGGTAACTCAGAGAGTATCCCGTGGTCTGGGTGTCTAGAGGTTATGGCTGAGCCTGATATTAATCATTTAAATCTGCATGGGTTCCCAGTGCTCTCACAAATGTTACCCCTTTCGGTCCTCACAAGAACCACAGGTTGTCAAGAGAATAGGTTTCATATTTGTACCAGACAGAAACGGCACTTGACAGAGGTGAAAGGGCTTGCCTAGGGTCTAGTATCAACACTACTCCCTTATCAGCGTCATCAACTACCACGTAATACGCGGCAGGCGTGACGCCCAACACTCTAAACATGAGATGTGTGACTTGCTCAACAACGCGGCCAGCTGGTGGGAACACCGACTGCGTATCAGAGCTGCCTGGCTCTAGGACCTGTTAGTGATTCCTCCAGCATTTCTAAATCTGGGATCCTGAGTTCCCTAACGAGATTTTCAATTTCATTTGGATAAAAATCTTTGAAGTTAGTTAAGTATATTCTAGAAATCAGATTACAAGGATGACTGCTACACACAACTTGATGCGAACGCCAGGTTTTAGGTTTGCATTTCTAAGTGGGAAAAGGGAGTGGGTGAGAGATAGACTTTTTCTTAATCCCCCTCCTCATTTTTTAATGTTTTTAATTAAAAAAATCTCAAAAGTGCTGTGTGCTCATTTTAGGGTGAAGGAAAGACTATGCTTTTCTCCACAGTGAGCGAGAGAGGAATCAGGCCTGGAAGACAGCAGGTAGCAACAGTGCAAAAGAAAACACACAGCCTCGTCTCTACATGTGGGGCGCTCAGCAGAAAGGAGGAGACAGGAAGTGAGCTCCCGGGGTGTCACGTCCTATGCAGACCCCATCCCTTCCTCCTTCTCCAACTCTAGCTCCTATTCTGCTGGAGCTCTAGTCTCAGGCCACAGGCATGGACGTCTCGAGTGGGAAGAGTCCGTCCTCCCGTCACTGTGGACACAGGGCGGTGACTGTCAGGACCGGACTCGCAGGACAAGCTGACAGAGCCCAGCTCCAGGGCTCCGGCCAGCACACGGCCTCCTGCCTGTGTAAGGGTGCCAGCACCCGACTGCACTCACATCAGTGCTCTGGCTGCACGGCCAGACCTGCGGCTCTGGATGCACCCGTGACTGGGAATTCCAAGTGCATTTCCAAGACCAAGACAAATATTCGGCAGGAAGTGCATTCACGAGTTCCCTAATGAGTGTTTAAACTTCATTTTGATAAAATCTTTACAAAATTAGATGGAATTAAGATAGACCTCAGTATGAGTTTTAATTCTAATACTAACTAGCCCCAGAAGTTACTTAACTTATAAGCTTCTGCTTGTTTATCTATGTAACGTGAATAACAATATCTCCTTTATAAGCAGGTAGTGAACAGTGTGAAAAACAGACAGAAGACCAGTGTATGCTAGAAACTAGTAGTTTCTCCATACCAGCTCTCCTATAATTAAGTACAAAGCCGATTTTACTTCATGTAACTTCAAAAGTAGCTCAAATGTCTAATGTTGACATCTGGATATCAGTTCATAGAGTACTTTTTAAATTGTGTGCCCTGCTCAGATAGGCCCTCGATAAAATATGTTTTATCCTCAGTCCCACATTTACGAATCTTAAGACTTGTTTTAAGCATTATTGGTTACACATACTTTCCCCACTAAGATCAACTGACAAAATTGCCCTTGGGTACTGATATGTTGTATTTTTCTCCGTAAACATGCTTCGCAGAGCCAGAGAACTCCCAGAAGATCGAGTTAGTGGAGAAGAGCACCTTTCCAAAAATTCTAGGGAACTGTCTTCATAGTCTGAATAGTCTGCAATACAAGATACATAAGTAAATATTAGTCAAGTGTCAGGCAGTCGAGAATATTTTTATTCTGTAAAAATAAAGAGAAAGTCACGTTTTAGGATAATGTTTTAGGATATAATCATGCCACCACTTCTTCTTCTCATCCATGAACAGCAAGATGATTATGTACCTAATAGACAAGACCACCTGGGAAATACAGTCCAGGCAGCATACACACAGCAGAAATCTCTGTTCTCACTGGTACCAGTCAATTCTTGTTGAGTAGTCCAGAAGTGAACGATGATGATTTCTACATTTTCTCTTCATTATAATCACAGCTGTCTGCAGAGGAAGATGTGCATGACCTTTCTTTTTCTTTTTCTTTCTTCTTTTTCCAATTTGTAAAGAGGTTCTCATGACATCTAGCATGCCAATTATTATAGTGATAATTTGATCAAGAAGTTCTTCAGTGAGAACCTCTGAATGAAAGTAACTAGTGCTGAAAGAAGTTTAGAAAGCTCTGTCCTAAGCTTGGAATGAGCCGTAGACATGGAAGAGAGGGCACAGGCCATACGTAGCTGACAGGACAGCGGTGCTGCGGGGAGGGGAAAGACACCAGTGGGTATGATTCTAGGCCTGCGGGAAGGCTCGGAAGTATAACAGAAGAGTCCATGGCACATTTGACAAATTATAAGACGGTAGCTGGAACACAGTGAGTGAGGGAGGTGAGAAATGAGGCTTGAGTGATAGGATCAGGTTAAAGATTTGTTTGCTTTTCAAGTTTTATCCTAAATGCAACAAAAAGTCATTCAGAGTTTGGAAGGGGAAGCAGGATGTGACACAAGTCCAATTCCATTTTTCAAAGCTCATTTTCACTGTGGAATGGAGAATGGGGTGCAGGGAGGCACAGGCGGAAGTGAGGAGACAGTTCAGAGGCTGCAGCAGTCCAGATAGGAGGCGCTGGCAGCGTGGACTGGGATGATGGCAGCTGAGGTGACAACTTAAGAGTAGACAGAGTGATCTGTAGACTGGACATGGTTTTTGGCCTTCAGGACTGTGAGAGAGTAAATTTCTGTTGTTTTCATCCACCAGGAGCTGTGGTCATTTGCTGGGGCAGCCTTAGGAAACTAATGCAACTCGGATTCACTTTGGATGATCTAGATAACTTTGCTTTCACAATCAGAAGGGAACAACACAGGAAAGGAAAACAACAGGCTCTTCTCGCTTATGGATGTAGATGCAAAACCCGCAGATAAATGTTATGGAATTAAATCCAGCAATGTATTAAAAAATGTGACCAAATAGGATTGGGACGCAAAGTTGGTTTGAATACAGGCGGGTGCAGAATGCTAAGAAATTTTGTTCACTTACTAATGTAACAGAGACTAGGTAGCCATGTTTGATTTTTAACACCGAGTTGAGGTTTCTACCATTTCTACCAGATTCTACTGCTTTGACATCTGTTGAGAGGGCAACGTAACATGTTGACAACAGGCAGCTCTGAAAGCTGAACACGTGGGTTCCAATCCAGCACTTACAGTGGTAACCTCAGTTACCTCACTTCTAAAATGGTAACGACAGTTTCTACTTCACAGATTTGCTGCCAGTATTCAGGAAGGCAACTGTCGCAAAGTACTTAACACAGTCCCTAGCTGGTGTTTAATACGAGTAAGTGCTCTTTTCATGCCTGTGCCTGAGTCACATGGTGTTGGGCAAACTGCGCAGTTACTACGAGGCCGTGGGAGGCAGGACAGCACCATGCTCCCCGGAGGCTGCTCTGCAGCCTGACAGTATCAGCATCATCTGGGAGCGGCCCCAGTCCTGATCTATGGGGGTGAGACCCAGGAATCTGTTTCAACAAGCTTACCAGTCTGCGTCCACTTTGAAGGTTGAAACCCACGGATAACACTGTGGTTAAAAAGAAGACTTCTGTAGTCAGGCTGTCTGGGTTGGAATACTGGCTTTGCCGGCAGTGGCTGTGTATTCCTGGGCAATTTACTTCACTAACCCTTTTTTTAATTTAAATCTGTATTAGCTTTATCACTTTTTTTTTAAAGGTTTTTATTGGGGAATTGGGGGATGGGAACAGCGCTGGGGAATTGGGGGAAGGGGAACAGACAAGTTGTCGTTTTGTTCTTCAGTCTAGTTGTGGAGGACGTTGCTTCACTGGCCCAAGTTGGCACCATCATTGCGCTCTTCCCAGGCGAGGCAGATCAGTCGCCGGCTTCTGGACGGCCGCTCACTGCGGCTGCTGGCCGCTCACGCTGGCTGCTGGCCGCTCACGCTGGCTGCTGGCTGCTGGCTACATACGGTAGCCCATGGCAACCCACTGCAGCAGGGGCTGCAGCCTATGCTGTCACCGGCGACTCCCGGCAGCCCAGCTCCAGGTTGAGCTGTTGTTCAGCATCTTAGCTGTAGAGGGCAGTGTCACTGGCCCTCATATGTGGGATCCGAACAGGGGCCTTCTGGTATCCTAAGCCAGCTCTTAACCAATGCGCCACTCGGCCGGCCCTTCACTAACCTTTTCTGCCTCTGTTCTTTCATTGGTTAAGACAGCACTAGCAGCTGTAGCTCCTTGTTGGATGGTTGTGAGGGTTAGAAGAGTTAATACACTTAAAGCACTTAGAATCATGTTCAGCACATAGAGAGCCCTCAGTTGGCTATGCTGTAGCATTGATGATGACCACTATGTTAGTTTCCTATTGCTGTCACAAATTACTACATGTCAGTGACCTAGAAAAACATAGCCAGGTACCCACAGCATCATCCCCCTGAGGGCTCTGAGGGCAAATCCTTCCGTGCCTCCTGAAGCTTCCGGCAGCCTAAGTCCCTTGCTGTGGGACAGCAGCACTCCGATCACGGCTCTGTACGGCTTGTCTCCTGTGTTTCAACTCTCCCTGTCCAGTCAGTATCTAGTAGTGCACCACAGTGCTTGAAGTGAAAAGCCTCTAATCAGCAACAAAGATTAATTTACAGATTGCTTCATTAGTACAGTTGCGTATTTTCAAAATTAGCAAGACAAGGGAAAGCTCACGGAACTTCTCAGTTCTCATCAATGTGGGATCTTGTCCCACCTCCATTTCGGTAAAAAAAAAAAAAAAGAGAGAGAAAAGTTGAAAGAATCTGAGAAATTCAAAGAAGTGGAAATCGCCATTTTAACAGACTCACCATGCTGCTTAGATTTCTTTTTCTTTTTCTTCTTCTTCTTCTGTTTTGGTTTGTAGTGATCTTTGTCTCGCTTCTCTTTTTTTTCTTTATCCTTTTCTTTTCTCTTACCTAAATAACAAAGTTAAGTACTTTAGTAATCATGATTGATCCTGACTTGTTCTTCTGTGGTTAACCTAAAAGCAGCATTTATGTTTTAATCAGCTATTCCAGTCACCTGCCCAGAGTGGATGGATTCAATTAAACTGTTCCTGTCATGAGTCTGGAACTCCTGATTAGCTTATTGGACTATAAAAGGGGATCTTCATAAGCAGTGTTGAGAAATCCCAACTCCTGACACCTTAAAGTTAACACAGACAGTAGTTAACATCTTTAAAGGAGTAATAGAACTCAGTTTCCTGATATGGCTAGAAATAAGCTCCATAATTTAAGAAAGATCTGACTGAGGAGACTCAGCATTTCCATTTATAATTTAATGAAAATATATTAGAAGATTTTTTTTTTAATTGAACTTTTTCTTTGGAAAAATAAAAAAATTAAATCAATCCATAAATAATTCCTTCAGTCTTTTAATACTTTCCCAGTGTGTACAAGAATGAAGACTAAAGACACACACACAAAAAAACTTGTTTCATTAAACTGATTTTTCCCCAAATTTTAAACTATTCCCTTTTCCCAACCATGTGTTTTAAAAAAAAAATGAATAGATCTTAAAACAGTATTCTATAATATTTTATTTAAAATTAATTCATCACATATATTCAGCTATCATTCCAACTCAAATGGTTTAGCCTACGATTTATCACCCATATTTAACCAACTTTCAGTGACCCAAGCTCCAGTTAGCTAATCCATAGGATATTTAAGTCTATCATCCATTATCCTAAAACTTTTAGCTATTATAGCATAGAAGATAGAAAAGAGCAGAAAACTTAGTAACTTTGTTATAAGGTGGGTTAAAGAAGACAGTCTGAAAATAATGACTATTTTAGCATTCATTCTCTAAGTCTCAACAATATTAAATGGCAGCTTATTTTTAAATAGCCATAATTTTAAAGACGTTCAAAAACACAAAGTTCTCAAAGAAAGCCTTAGGCTCCCTTGACAAAAAAATACACATAACACTGTAAGATGTGCAGTTAAGGTTCCCTGTATCTGGAGCCGAAAAACACTACTAAATACTCCGACAATGGCTTACACCTACAGGAGCACAGCCGGGTAAAAGTAAGGGACAGACCACGTCCTCCCACTGCCAAGCCATCTACAGCCTTTTGCGTAATTATTACTTTCTGTTCATACCAAATGCTGTTGAGCTTTTTTCTTCCAATTTCACTTTTTTTTCTGTTTTCGATATTCCTGCAGATTTAGGGGAAAAAGATGTTAAGTTTAGTCAGAAAGGGTTAAGGTATGGAACAATGTTTTAAATCACAATTGATCACAAAATTCTACATAAGACACTCTTTCCCCGAAGGTCTCCATTATTTTATTGCCTGAGCTAGTAAAAAAGAAGTGGGATTTCTTACTTCAAAAAACTGATAAATTAAGGATGAGTTTTGTTCCTTCAGACTATCCCGATTAAAATCCTAGTTCCACCCTGTGTTAGCTGTATGGCTTTGAGTAATTTGTTAAATCTCTGTGCTTCAGTTTCCTTATCTGCCAAATAGGAATATCTACCCTCGTTGTTTTACCAGGATTATATGAGTCCAAGTATGTAAAATGCTAAGACCAGCATCTGTTACAATAAATAATAAGTGCTCTTTTTCACTTTCTCCTTTGTGATGGGGTAATAGTTTGAGATTACATCATTTCCAGCAATAGAATATGGGTCTAAACATAACAAAAATGTTAAGTTAAATGTACTAGGCAATCAGTAAAGATCTACTCTGCCATCACAGCCTTTGGCAATCGAGCAAATGTTGACATGTATCCGAGTGGTAGGTTCACATAACATTTCCGCTTCTGTGACAGGTATGACATAAATGCTATTCAAGTCACCCAAAAGAAATCTTAAACTTCATATGAAAGTATACTGGTTTTCAACAACTTATATAAAATTTAACCATTGTTGCCTAAAACAAACTTGTACTTTTGAACTCCATCATGAATGTGATGTTAGGTAATGATAAAAGTCAAACAGAATTGTTTTACAAATTACTTTTAGTCTTTTATCTAAATGTAAAATACAAAGTCTATTTACACATAAAAAGTATACAACTTGAATGACATTTAGGTATTACTATCTAATGGTCCAAAATACATTTTAAACCAATGGTGCACCTCAGTAACTGTATAGCTGATACAGATAGATTTAAATTGAGCTTCTCAACTCACATTCGACCATCCCCAATGTTAACATCTCACATGTGTCTAGGGTTAATCTAAGAAAAATACTATAGTAAATTTAAAATACAATTTCAGCCTACTAAATTATGCTTTAATATCACCATTCATGAGTTCTTTGATTTTTAAGTCACTTCAATACAGTATCAAAAAAACTAGCATTTTATCATCTTCAAATATTTTATATAATTTAAACACAATAAAAATATAAAAATACCACTCAACTTGAATTAAATGTTAATAAGGCTCTAAGAAGTAAGTTTCATGTTAAGTAAGAATACTGACAATCTCCATGACAAAAAATGAAAGGGACATCAGAGCAAAGAGAAATGCAGTTAAATTTCCTTATTACCAAGACTGTTGAACAAATGTATCACTTCCTTTTACTATGATAATTACTGTTCACTCACTACTAGTAACCCACCATGAGAATTCTACAAATTTGATACAACTTTCTTAAAGATGAGAAGGCATTTACAATGCGAGCAATGAGAAAGGGGTTTCCTAAGTGCTCAGTGACAGTGCGATGATAATATGCAGAAGTTGCACTTGATCGTGCCTGGTGCCTGACAGGTCGACTTCTCTGGAGCACTGACTCCTCAGGCTGAAAGGTGGAGCATGGCTGGAACCCCCTAGGCTGATTCAAATGGAAGGAACTGCCTTAGTGGGCTGCTTTACGGACTGGAATGTGTAGGATCCCTCAGGTACTTGGAAGACAAATAAAATGGTTATGAACCGCAGCTCTGGACACAGGTCAGTACAGCAGAACAGATAGTCATTCACAGAGTGCTTTCAGTTCCAGAATCAGTTTTCCCACGTTTATATTTCTTGATTAAAAAAAAAGAAAAAAAGTAAACCTGGGGGACTGACAAAGGGTTGTCAATATTTTACACAAATAAGGATAATAAATATTCATATATGCAACAATGGCAGGAGTTTAAAAGATACTCACACCCAAATACAAGAAAAAAATAGACTTAAGAATTCAACAAATGAATAAATTTAGGAAGTTCACTACACTGTCCTTATTTCGTCTCGTGCTAGAATTTGGAACCATAGTACTAGTTTAGAGAATAGTGAGTTTTAAACTAAATTTTATTAGAACATTTTCTCCAAACAAAATATTACGCGACAGTCCAAAACATAACACAAAAACCAAAAAAATGAACAACAGATTAAAAAACAAATGGAGCTGTGTAGATTAAAAGAAGGAAGGCAGAGCTTTGAACTGGGCATGCTTGCACACAGTTTAAAACCCAGTAATGAATGCACAGGGGTTTCTCAGCCGCTGCACTACACATCTGACTCTCCTGGCTAAAAACAAGGCTATCCCTGAGACTCGCCATGGAAAGCCCAGGCTCTCCACAGCCATGAACATTTGGTGTGGGGGTGGAGGTAGATTACAGAGTCTCTCGTTTTATTTTTATTTTGTACAATTCTAGAAAAGAACTTGAAAAGCACTTTACAATAAAAAGGCTGAAGAGTACTAGCTGAAAACCAAAAAAGTTTTGTTTTTCTTCATTTCAGAACTGACTCAATTTAGACTTCCTTTACCATCTAATTTCAAATTAGTATACATTGAAAAAGTATTTGAAATTAGTATTTGACTTTTTTTATTACATGTAGTCATTAGTTGAGGTTAAAATTCTACAAAACTTCCAAATAAATCAATGTAACCATATAAAGGAAATATAAATTAATATTCTGTTAGGTTATAATATCGACTTGATAAAATACCTCTGAAAAGTTTCAGATTACAATAAATATCAAAGAATCATCCCAAAAATGCATTATTGAGCATGGCTGATTTTATGTATTAGACTCCCAAAATAATACTATAACAAATTAGATTTAAATTTGGGAGATTCTGCCCCAAAATACGGAATTATATTTAAGATACAGGTATATAGTTAAATTTAAGCTAAGCGTTTCTTAAATATAAAATTATATTAAAATCCTTAAACCTAATTATTGATCCCGTTCGGTATTTTCTGGCTATAAAACCAAAAGCTTCAGTAATAAGATTTAGCTCTAGTAATTCCTATTTAGTACCGTAGATACAGGATATGAGAAAAGCAGGGAGGGGATTTCCCGTCAAGATGGCAGAGTAGATAAATGCTGTGCTCGCCTCCTACCACGACCACATCAAAATTACAACTAAATTATACAACCACCACCTTTGAGAACTCCCTGAAGACTAGCTGACCAGAACGCATATAACTAAGGGTATAAAGCAGCCACCTCGAGACTGCAGGAGGGGCAGAGACATGGAAGGGTGCACCCACCCCCACGTGTGGTGATTAAGAAGCAGGAGCGACATCTCGGCTGTGAAGATCCCCCTGAGGAGCAAGGGGTGCAGCCACACACTGGGCTCCCCAGCTCAGACTACCAGTGCCAGGAACAGGAGTCTCCGTAACTTCTGCTGTGAAATCAATAGGGATGACAATCGGGGTGAGATGGGTGGAGGGCAGGGCAGCTGGAATTGCAGGCATTCCTCTTAAAGGATCCATGCACGGATTTACTTGCTGATAGACCCACTCGCTCTGAGCTCCTGGCAGCAGCACAAAAGGTGCCAGGGACATACAGGGAGGAACTGAACTGTCTTGTTTAGGGCAAAGGCTAAAGGGGTAGCTCTCCCCGCCATGTGGTTCCTTTGCTGAGCGCTCCCCCAACCCAGCCAGCAGGCTCAGGCGGGTGCCAAGTCTGAGACTTCATCAAACTGGCCTCCCCCTGGTCATTCCCTGAGACCCCGCCCCGCCCAACTCATGCACAGGCCCAAACCTCTTTCAGTGGCTGTTACAAGCAGCTGGCCTCAGCCCATGCTGTGCACTTCCTTAAAATCTCTGAAAGGTCCACAAACCCCAAACAAGCAGCGGCTGGCTTTGGCATGCCCTGTACCTCCTGCTGAGCGGCCCACAGCCTGGCACTCATGGAAGCAGGCCTGGGTTCAGAGCACAGCCTCTCCCAGGCACCTCCAAGCCTAGCACAGGCAGCTACCAAACACAGATTACTTTGTAGCTCCTACCAGGTTGCCCTGAGCTGGGCTGACTTGGGCCTGAACCGGAGCCCCTCCCAGGAGGCCTCAGAACCAACATGCCCGGTGGCCAGCTTTAGGCCACACGAGAGCACCACCCAATTATCTCCACAAATGACACACCCAAAGGGTGTACTGGGCAGACGCCATGCAGGGCCCTGCTAAAGTGAACCCCGGTCCATGGGCTCAGCTCCCACACAACAGCTCATCTGCTGTAGTCACAGCCAGTCCTCACAGCCAGTCTGCCTAAGGGTCAATCCAACCCCAATATGCCAACAGCAATCAAGGCTCAACTACAACAGGAGGGCACACCCAAGCCACACAAGGGACACCCCTGGAGCAGCTGGCTCAGAAGATCAGGGAGTCTGCACCAATGAACCCAGAGGAACACACTAAGATACATCATAATTAAAATGCCAAAGGTTAAAGACAAACAGAGAATCTTAAAAGCAGCAAGAGAAAAGCAGTTTAGTTACCTACAAGGGAGCTTCCATAAGACTGTCAGCTGATTTCTCAACAGAAACTTTGCAGGACAGAAGAGATTGGCACAAAATAGTCAAAGTGACGAAATGTCAGGACCTACAACCAAGATTACTCTACCCAGCAAGGCTATCACTTAGAATTGAAGGAGATAAAGAGCTTCCCAGACAAGAAAAAGCTAATGGGAGTTCATCATCACCAAACCAGTATTACAAGAAATGTTAAAGGGACTTCTTTAAGAAGGAAAAAAAAGATAAAAACCTACGAATAATAAAATGGCAATAACTACATACCTATCAACAATTACTTTAAATGTGAATGAATTAAATGTTTCAATCAAAGACATAGGGTGGCTGAATGGATAAGACAACAAGACCCAAGCGTCCATCGATAGACAGCTGGATAAAGATGTGGTACATATATACAATGGACTATTACTCAGCCATAAAAAAGAATAAAATCTTACCATTTGAGACAACATGGATGGACCTAGAGGGTAATAAGGGCTAAAAGACTGAAATAAGTCAGAGAAAGACAAATGCCATATGATTTCATTTATACGTGGAATCTAAAAAACAAAATAAATAAACGAACAAAACAGAAACAAACTCATAGATACAAAGAACAAACTGATGGCTGCCAGGCTTTGGGGGGCAGGCTGAAAATGGGGAAGGGATGAAGAAGTACAAATTGGCAGTCACAAAACAGTCCGGAGATGTCAAGTCCAGCATGGGGAATACAGTCAATAATATTGTAGTAACTATGTGTGGTGTCAGGGCAACCACTTTGTAAGTTACATAAATGTCAGCCACTATGCTTTACACCTGAAACTAATATAATAATGAATGTCAACTGTAACTGAAAAATAAAAGAAAAAGGAAGGGAGGCGGGAGGAGAGGGAAGAGGTAGATTAAAGTGACAAAGTAAGGAGTATGGCCTGGGAATATGATAACAAGTGGTGGCACAAAAGAACTTTAAACAGAGAAACCCTATCTCCCACAGATGTTACATAGAAGTATTTTTGAAGAGGAACTACATATGAAAATGTTAATTATACATCAAAATGTTTACAGCCTATAAATGCAAGCCCAGCTACTTGTAAAAGGAATCTTGTTTTTTTACCTGATGCTGTTGGAGCTCCTCTTCCATCAGTTATTGTTTTGGAAGAAGGATTTGTAAGCATCTGTGTGTCTTCCTTCTCTCCCCTGGGACTTTCATTATGGTAAGAGGGATCTGGGGCTAGTGGTGCTGTGACTTCTGAACCACGACTTAAGTCAAGAGGGAGACAGGGTCCCAGCTTCTCAAGTGACAAATGTGCAACATCAGGCACTACACAAAATAAAGAATGTAATATAATATTAACATAGATAAACTGGCTCAGTTCATACCCATGTGGATTAAAATGTCAGGTACGTTAAACAGTGCCTGGCACAAGGAAGCACTCAGTAACTCTGTAGAATCAATGAAGTGCTTATAAGTCCAAAAGATATGAGGGAACAAAGCAGATATTTCTTAATATTTTAATAGTCTGTATCTCTTAGTGTTTTATCTTCTTTTATGGTTTGGTTCTATAGGAAATCAATATACATTACCCTCTGGTACTGAAGATTCTTGCTGATTCTGAGAACTGATGGAGAATACTTTCCCATCAGTGGCTGGAGAGGAAGGAGAAACCTTTTCTACAGAGTCATCAGGCATGGGCAAGGTGGCTAAACGCTGAGACCGTCTTCTCCGCTCACTATGCTTGAAAGGTCTAGGGGGGTTCACAGGCTGTGGAGGACCTAGAAAAAGATCTTCAATGTTCACGAAGCAGACACATGCTGGGATGCTCTTACAATATTTAGGGAGATAAATGGGAAAAATGATTTAAGTACGGCCCTCTGATGTTGTAAGGTATCCACAAGGAATGGCATGTTCCAAAAGTAATCAAAAGGCAACAACTGTGCCCTCATTCACAAAAAGAATTAATCAAAACTTCTAAAAATCAAAGCCTACTAGAACCGAAAGAAAATAACAGGGAACAGTAATTTCAGGTACTTTCCCCAAGTGACAGACTAGAGTTAATTCTCTAATTGCAGATCGCGGTGTTAGTTGCCATTTTTCCTTTGGGAAAACAGTCTCTGGGTAGCCAGATTTAAAAAAAAAAATTATATATATTATATATATATAAATCCCTTTTGCTACATTACAAATCTAGAAACTCTTAAGGGGAAAAAAAAAGGTGGGGACATAAGTGAGAAAAATCTGACATGCATTGTAGTTAGTGCTTTACTTGCCAACATAAATAATTTTATCCCACCCTCACTCCCCCCAAGTGGATTTTTATAAGCATATGTTTGGGCCTGATTCATTAAAAAAAAAAAATTAAACACAAACATTGTTAAGTACCTATTATGGGCAAATAATCAGGATTTTAGAAGAAAATGACAGCTCTTGCCCTCTTGTGTTTTGTTTTGTTTTTTAATAGCTAACTTGGTGAGTCATTTAAGCATCTTTTAGCTATATAACACAAAAGTTTGGAAATTTCTGTCTTTTTGTTTTATCCTTTAGTTTTCTTTTTTCTACATGGCATGTAAATATTTGATTACTTTGAATAGCCAGGATTACATAAGGCCAATATATTCATATCAATTTAGAAAGAGGAAAAAAGAGTGGCCAAAGAGGTTGATACCTTGGATATTTAAAATTAATTTTACAAAAACTGAAATGAAAAAAACATGGGGATAATTTTTTTAAAAAAATGAAAGAGTGAAATTCAATTGCTGCAGCTGTAGTTATAATACCAAAATACAAAACAATTTCAAAATAAAATATTTAACGTCATGTGACATTGTTGTGATTAATGACATTATTTCATAAATGCCATAATGAGGAAACATGGCTTCTTCTGTTCCGATTCTTTCTACCCATTCATTAAAAAGCACAAAACCAAAACAAAAAAGTACCAAAACCCAATTAAAAATGGAAAAATACATCTTGGTAGAAAATGTGACAATTGAATGGAAGAGGAGATGAATATATTTAGTTGGTAAGAGTCTTCTCAAGGCCAACATTTTCAATTGTTGTGACTGATAATGAAGAATTTGTAAGGAAATGTGTCACATTCCTTTACTAATCAGGGTTCTAATTCATTTGTTGTATAAAAAGCAAAAGTCTCTTTTACCAAGTGACTTTCCAGGTCATTGGTTTTCACATATTTTTCTAACTTAGAATACTAAACTGAGAAACACAGGGTCAACACAAATATTGTCTTATATACATATATATATATATATATATATATCCAAACCCACATTGAAACGCTTTTATTAAGACTGAATTATTGCATTGTCGGAAAAGTCATGACGCATATTTGCAACGAAAAACATAGAAAAACTATGTCATGACTTTTCCAACAACCCAATAACTCTTGAATGATTAGTGGTATTGAAACAGTAAAATCTTTAACAATAAGAACAAGGAAGCATTCTTCTTCTTTCATTAATAAGATTAAACTGAAGTCTGCACTTTCAATCCTAGAATAAGAATGAATAAAATGTACTGCACAGGGAGCTACAGAAAGCAGGAACAATAAATCTATCCATAAGAATAGTCTCAGGAGTTGAGGAAAAATATCCACCATGGGTCTTTTTTATATCTTTCTGGTTTTTTTTTGTTTTTGTTTTTTGTAATGAATCAGGCCTCTCATTGTGCTTGGATTATTAGTTGAGGAAAATCAAACTACAGTGGAATTTGCGTTATTAAATGGTTAAGGTTTCTCAACCGGCAATAGTCTCTGTACAGCAAATCAGTCAGAAATGTATATGGTTTTTGCCCCTGAAATAGTTTCAATAGCCTTCCCTATCATATCCACTTAAGTTTGTATTTTTAAAAAAGCAACTTCATAAAAATACAACATAACTACAATCAAACTGTTTGTAGGTATCTTATAGGATAAGTAACTATGTTTTAAAAATCTGTGCTCACTAGTTTTATTTATCACTGAAGAAGAAAGCTGAGATACAAGCGTCAAATCCTCGATTTGTATTAATTCTGGGGGAAGTGGTGATTTAGGGGGCTTTATACACCCAGAAGAATCTCCAGATTCATGTTTGCATTTCTTGCTGCGAGCCTTCCCTGAAGACAAAGTTGAGGATAACAGTGCAGGTTTCTGAGTGTTGGCAGAACTGCTAATGTCAGCTTCATTTTTTTTCTGACTTTGAGGTTTAGGTGAAATCGCCTGAATAAATAATAAAAAATTGATATTTTTATTTTGGTTTCTTCATTTTTGTTCTTGTATTCTATTTTGATTGTTAAGCAACTTTAGTATCCAAAAACATTGTTAAGCAACATATAACATTTCTATTACAAATGAAAAACCAAAAAGAACCCCACAAATTATTAACTAAAAGTTGAATAGGCTGTCTTTAAAGGGATGCTGTCAACTTGAAGTCTAAATTTGTTTTTTAAAAAACTAATTATTCATCACATTCTCAGAATGTAAAATGTAACCTTACTGGACAAATACTTTCAGTATTAAATTGAAATGTGCCTCTTTTGAAACCCTAATTACCAATGACATTAGTAATAATTAAATGAACAGCATTTTTATGTTTTAGAGCATTAGAGGAACACGATACATTTAAGCCTTTGACTTTCAGATGTTTTCTTATAATTTCCTTTATCAAGTTGAATGCAGGAGTCTGCGTAGACAGTTTCCCTTTAAAGAAAGATCTCAACAGGAAAACAATGATCAAATTAATGAAACATTATCTTTAACTCATTTCAGTGCTGAAAGCTAGTTTCATAAGCGAAATGCACCATGAAATCAAAGCCACCAGCAATATAGAGTTAAAAGACTAAAAAACAATACAAAACAAGCAACAACAAAAAAAAAACCAAGGAGTAAAACCAAGTGTAAGTTAAAAACATTGGATTTAAAAACAAAATACGTCGCATTCTTAGATGAGAGTTTTTACCTTCTTCCTGCCAACTGATACTTTTAAAAAAAAATTAGAACTTTGTCATTTCTTTATTCATTTGGCAGCAAAATTTCCTACATATGTAAAAATGTACGTGAATGTGTCCCAAGACAACAGAGAATAGCCACATTGGATGGATCTGCAAGTCTGTGGTGTTGGAATGCCTCTACTGTACCTCTTTCTGATAGTCGTATCCGAGAGCGAAACATGATCCAGTTTTTAAAAATGTATACTAAGATAGGCCTCTATAAAGAATCAAATTGCGAGCACTCTGAACACTATGCTTGTCCCTAAGAAACCTTTTAACTGCCATGTCTTTGGTGAGGGGTGACCATTGGGTCTGCAGTTCTCTGGAATATGAAAGGTCATTGCTGGGGACCAAACAGCTTTCTGTTCTCTCTAAAATACAAGGTGCTCAAATTTTGGTGGGAAAAAAAAAAAAGTGTACATTTGCTATTAAGTAGGGCACGTTTGAATGCTCTACAGATGGCATGCTGGACATACCACATAAAAGGGCTGGTGTCAAGTGTCCCATTTATTTGTCATTTCTACTTTTGAATTTACTCATTACACATGTGTTTAAGTGCAGATTAATCATTTGGAAAAGAACTCCATAAATGGAAAGGATTCCTAAGCTTATCATAAAAGGTGTTGCCAGAAAAGTAATTAGAGCCATTACTTGTAAATAAACAATTTTATTGTTCATCTTCACATATGTGAGAGACATCACTACAGCATCCATTAATCTCGAGTTACAAAGTTATAAAACAAGATTTTAAAACTTAAATTAATATCTTGATAAGGTGCTTAACTTCTAAACAAGGACAAATTAACATTTTAAAAAACTTACTGAATTATGCATCTAATGCAGGTTTTATCCAAAAGTAGGTATAACATGACAATTCCCTAATACAATTAAGTAATCTATAATTAATAATTTGAGAATTGGGGTTCAAGACCACAGTTTGAATTTTTATTAATGTAAATAAAATAAATCATTAGCACAATAAATTTTGGCTGTAGGCCTGTTATAAATCTATGTCATGAGTGACATTATTTTACTCATTAGGACAACAGAGGTTAGTGACAATCAATACCTCTCCTTTAAGTCTATTGTTGATACCAATTGAGATGTAGTAAGAGTTTTATTTATGACTCGGCTTTTTAACTTGGAAGCAGGGCAAACAGCACAAAAATTAAGAATTTTGTTTCAAAACATTTTCACACTGAAATCAACCTAAATGACAAATAAAAAATGATGGAACAGCATTATGTCCCTTAAAAACCTAAAATAATTTACAAAGTTTTCATTAATGATTACTGGTCTCTTTGTTACAAAACTGGCAAGGACTCTCAAAATTTTTTAAATTATGCAAACAAACAGCCGAGTTACTCAAATTTTCTCTTTCTTAAACTTAATTTCAGAATGTTGTTCTCTGTACTTCTCTCTGAAACGGGCACTGCCCTCCATACTAACCTCCACATATAGTAAATAATTTTCACAATCACATTTACCTCAGCAGGATTGTGCATAATGAAAGATTGACATTGTAATGAATTTTCCAGAAACATTTTATTACCCAAGTCCCTGATTTATTGCATTCTGAGAATACCATAAACAGTGGTGAAAATACAAAATACTGTTATATCTGGGACGTTGAATGTAGTAATACACAATAAAAAAGTCACTTAAAATTTGGTTGCTATACTGACAATAACGGCAAAGACTTAACCGTTTGATGATCACAGAAAATCAGAAGGTATGATTTGCTGACATATGAATCGATTTAAAAGACCGCTGATTTAATACAACATTAATGGAGGCACCAAAACAATGCACTGTTATCAAATCAGGCCTAAAATAACCCTGAAAAACTCAATACAATATCAATTAAATTTGGACTATTTTTTTAAATGCATATAGGTAAGAGCAAAAGATACTCATTTTAAAGTCTTCTTTATTAGGCTACTACTAATAAAGAAAATGAAAATAATACAAAATGAATATGTTAGAACTACATTAAGGCTCAGATTTTAAAACAGGAGAACCAAGGGAATCCAGTTATGGCTATTACTGTGTTCTTATCATCTTACAGTGCCCGAGAAGTTAAGCCCTTAATGAATGTAAAAGCATGCACAGTTCATTATGTACAGGTATCGTGGGAATCTGAAGGTAGCCAAGGCAAAATCTAGCAACTGCAACCTTCACTTTTAAATTCCTCTATTAGGTGGTTTAAAGACAGACCCTTAATAGTTTTTTAAAATTCTCTCTTTTTTGTAGTTATTAAAATATACATCCTAGCAAAAATGTATGGCTCATTGATCAATTCATAAAACACATAGTCAGTCTAACAACACCAATTGTTACAATATAAAAGAAACTTCTTACAAAAGAAGCTTTATTAGATGTCAAAAACCCTGTTTGAACTCACAAATGAAAAGTATTTGTGTGAGGGTCTTTTTGTAAGCTAGTCAAAGGTGATCCGGCTGTAAGCTTATACCCTGGGGTGCCTGTCTCCAGTCCATCAAATGTTGGAGACATAGGCTATGCCAGTCTATTGAAAATAAACACTAATGAAGTCTGTAGTTTGTATACCTTGGAGAAGGCAGAGTTAAAAATATATCATCCAGTAATTAGCTTCCTATTCCCATATCTGATCAAAAGGGCAATTTCAATTACGTGGATATTATAGCTCCGCGATCATTCCAGTTGGGAACCTTGAAAAAAATCAAATGCTACCATTTCATACCTGCTCCAGCACTGGAGCTGTTTCACTGTAGTCTTCCTTTTTTTCAGCACCATCCACCCCAACAGCTTTGGATGCCAACAAACCTTGAGAAAAATTGTACAAAAATGGCTTATTAGAAAAAATATTGACTTTCACCCTAATGAGCTTCACAAAATTTTAGCAGTTGAAATCCCCATACTTTTTTAAATATAGGAAAAAAATATTCTCAAAAGTTTACTTGTCAAAAATACAAACACCCTTAATAATGAATCAAGGGACTGAATTAGAATTTGAAGTTGCTTACATAATTTGATTTTTTTAGTATTACTCCTGAAGATGTTCTTAAAACACCACAGACATATACATTCTGTAAAAATTTTACATTCTATGGCTTAATGTCCAGAAACCTAATATTACTTAGATTGTTAGTACTCTTCATATGGGCTTTGTCTATACAGCTGAAATAAAACATGAAATTAAGATATGAGAAATCTTTCCAAACATGTAGAATGTAAAATAAAATTTTTGTTGTTGTATTAGCTAAAAAATAGTCCCAATTTTTAATTTCACTTGGATCCTTTGACCTAAGCTTTACACGTTTATCTCTATACACAGTTGTAGCTTATTTTCTTACAAAAGTAATGAAAACACTGACGGAGCCATTTTTTGTTAATGTGAAAAAAGGTATGAGTCCTTCCTACAACACTGGAAATTAATATTATAGCCTAATTCTACAAATGAAATAATTTGGGTGTCCTAGTTTTCTCCAATGTATACATACCACTAATTCTCAATTTTAGAAGACAGAATATTTTATCTGGAGTAAATATAATTAACTTTAAAAGACATTAAAACTCTGCTTTAATTTATAAATTAAAGGTATTTACTTGGTCAAGATTCTTTGCAAAGCGCCTGATAAGTACCTTCAATGAGGCCAAGTTTATAGCCCTTGTATAATAACAAGTGTTTGCTTTTGTTTATGGCCACTGGGTACGTAGACGGTCACCAAAAATCATTTTTGGGTCACTTCAAAGCTGGCACACACTTCAGAGGAAGCATGTTTAACAATCGACAACGTAACAGTATACTTACTACAGCAATTACACCGCCTATATTACTGAAGCTGTCTACAGCACATTTAATAAGAGAAAAAATGTGCCCCCAAGTCACATAACTTCGAGCTAGCGATATCGTAACGTCTCTCGACTGTTTCAGATAACTATCTCAAAGATGTTAAGTAATCTATTAATAAGTAGGAATTCAAATAGTAAAATTGTACTGTTCAAGTGTTAAATTAGGCAAAAAGTCCTTTTCTTTATTGGAAAGCTGAATATCTAGCACTCGGATTTGTAATTTAAAATAAAAAAGGCAGCATGTAAAAAAAATGATGTGGATACATCAATGATTGGCATTAAAGCTGGTATTTGGTCCAGTGTGAGGTACCAATCTACCTAGTTTGTTCAAGTCTCATATAATATCAAGTATAGATTTAAATGAGGGAAAAAACAACATATAAATAATTTTACACAATAGTCTATAAACCACAAATTCAATCCTAATTATATCACTATAACTTCTGAACATATTTTTAGGTGACTGAAAAAGATGTAGCATGATGATTTCTTTAACACTGAAAACCACATTCACTAGGCTTTTCTTCTCTAATAGTTTTGAGAATCACTACTACTGAAATAAAAAGAAAAATAATTAGGGAATCAAGTTCTTTTGTAGGGAAAAGTAGAGGTTCTACTTCTAAGGGTTAATCAAACAGGACAAATATCTGCTATTCAATCTATTAAATACATCTCACATTTTGTTTCCTTTCACATAGGCAGTGGAAATACTTTTTAAAATTTCATCAATAGATGGAACAGACCACAAACTTTAAGATTAACAATAAGGTACTACAAGCTTTTAAAAAATAATTCAGCCATACTTTGTGAATTTAAATTAGGATATTATAGACCCATTTAATGAAAAGCAATTTCCACCTAATGGTTTGTGAAGAAAAAGTAAAGCTTTATAATATTTTCATAAAAAGTAATGGGACATTTAATAAAAACTTCAAGTTAGATTAGAAAATACAATACTTGGCATCTAGAGAATTCAAAAGCCTCAAACATGATCAATAAAAAGATTTTCATACTCCATCTTACAAAAGAGTTACCAAATATAAAAAAGGGGACACAAAATAAAATGGCCTTGAGAAGAGGATTCTAACTACTTCTGCCTTAAGAGGCAGTCCAAAATCTGTTATCTTGACCTGCTAATGTTCTGGGGGAAAATGCAATATCCTTAGAAAATTAGAATTGGAAGGAAATAGGTGTTTACAAATGAAATTAATTTTAGTTATTTGCAAATACATGTCAATATATTACTAACAGGTCCTCCTACAGAAGAATGCTTCTATAAAGTAATTATCTTAACAAAATGCATTATGCAGTTTTAAGAAATTATTTAAATATCAGGTCAAAGTAGAATGTCAAATATTCATGAGTACCACCCACAAAGCAACAACTTCTCAATATCTGACTTCGGCTATAAAATACGTAACTGGTCTCTTGCTGCCAACAGTAATAAACAGCATAGAGGCCAGAGCACCCTGGAACAACAAAGGGAAGTAAAAAAAAGCAGTGTTTAAATTTATGGCCTACTTTTCATCCAGGGATTCCAAAACACAATATTCTTGCTGGGATTGAGAATCAAATATTCTTGATATTATCAATAACACAATTCTGGCCAAGTCGAACTTCCAGGTGTATAAGATTATCTTTAAAATGCCCGAAGTTACACAAACGTATACTGAGCTTGCTGAGCTTCTAGGAACTCCTGGAACTATCAGAAACAGGCCACGCGCCAGCTGCTGATGCTCCTCCTTTTATGCCTTCTACAACCTGTAACTTAGAATCTACTAAAATTTGCTTGCAGTTTGCTTGCAACTTTGCCCCACAGTATGGACTCCTGATTCTCTCTGTAAAATCATCTATTGTAAATCGATATGCATAAAATATGTAACTATCAGTAAGGTACATTATAGAATGAAAAATAAGACTCTGGAAGAACATACATATACTTTGCAATTGTAATTCCAATGTTTACTTATTTGGAAATTGATGAAAAAACTCATCCCATATCGTTTCCTATGTAGAAATCAGGTTCAGACCTCTGTAGGGTGTGTACATGGGGAGAAAGAGAGCGAATAAATACATTAATTAAACTTCTCCAGTGGTTGGTCCACTTATTTCCAGCTAGAACTATTTAAAAAATAAATCGAGTTGGGGAAATACATCAGAGTTGGCTGAGATGCTGCCATCATCACAGCCCTATTCCTCTCAGCAGCAAAGAGACAAAAGGGCATGTGTAAGTGAGCTTGATAAATTTAAAACACCATAATTCCATAATATAATTGCTATTTTTTATATTAGTTCTCATCTGTTTTTATGGTATGCAAATGAAAGTTACTGTACAGAGGTAAGCTTAGGTTTCATCCATCGAAGACAATCTTATCATGTCTGTTGTCTTTTTCCATGACATAACTGTAACATGAAATCATGTTATATAGATGCAGAGAGAGGAACTATATTAAAAGGATTATCGTACATTTAAATCTTCTGAGTAAATCAAAGGAAAAATTCATAATGGTTTCACATTCGTAAAATCTTATGCTTTTCTACTGCTGTAAAACTATCACGTGCTCACTTGAGAGTCCCAAAAGGAGGTGAAGACAACATCCCTCCAGAGAAGCCATAGGGTGTTACTAAGCAACCATAATTAGAACTTCCTTGAGGCACTCGGTAGATGGTTCTTGCCCCCCTACTGCCTTTTCAAGGCCATGCGGACATAATGCATCACTGTGGACTGAGCTGTTTTCTTTTTCTACTTTAAATGTGGAGCTTCAGCTTCTCATAAGGCACACGTGAGAGCACACTGACTGAAACTAAAATAAGGTTATCCAGGCTGCAGGGAAAACCAGGATGCTAGTAAGCTGGCAGCTGTGTCCCGTCCGTGTCTCTTCCATCTTCCTCAATCTTGGCTCCCCCAACAGTGCTGTTTCAAGCATGGTGTCCCAGGCGTTCGAAGTACTACTCCACGTCTACCACAGTACGGGGCACAGGTGCCATTATCCTAAGGCAAAACTGAAGTCTCAAGTTGCCATCGTAACAATCACCTGGATAAAGTTTTGGCTGTCTCCAAAGCTAACAGTTTCTATGGAAAAGGTGGAATGGGTGAGCTGATTTGAGGTATTTCCTGTTCTGGGACCAAATATATCTTTTATCAGAGAAAGGTACAAAAATAATATTAACAAATGAAAAGACTAGAAGTCTCACCTGTTGAAACAATTATAATCACTTAGGTGAATAGTATGATAAAACAGTGGTTCTCAAGAACCCTCAGCTATAGTCATTTTGCAGTGGGCTTCCACTCTTCAGAAAATGGACAAAATGTTTAATTTATGTTTATTTTTTAATCTGACAATAAAATCAAAACCAACTTTCTTCAAATTGTTTAAAAGAATGCCAACAAAGGTTTATACAGCTTTATTAGGCCAAAGGCACTAAAAACCATCGTGTTCTTAAAATAAGAACATATGACTGAACAATTAAAGTATCTTAACAGCCCTTTTAACACATACTCAGAAAAAATATGTATCTTCACGATTTCTCTTCAAGTCTAGAACCAGGCTACATAGACACAGGAAGTGACGGGGCCTAGTATTACTGGCCCCAATCCTAATCCTTAAAATCCTTTCTTCAAGGACACTAGGCAAAGGTTTTCAGTGCTTTTCATCATCCTAGTACTCTACTTCCGAAATTACCACAAAGCACAAAGAAATAAGACCAGGTTCAATAAGACCAGGTTCAAAAGAATTAAGAAGTTTGCAAAACATAGAGAAGTACTTTTACAAACTGGGAATTAACAGCTTCGGTGTTCATCTTCCCCACCATATATTGCACCGTCCTTAACAAGACTGGTCAAGAGTAAGAATGCATAATAATATTCAGAGTCTCAGACATTATGTCACCACAGATTGATAAAAGCAGATAATTCTTACAGAAACTACTCCTACCACCAAGGTGATTTAAAAACGATGGAATTTTATAAATTTTGATCCTATGAATCCTCACAACATCCCTGTGAGGTAGGTAGAAGATGTGTGACATTTTTCACATTTCACAACACAAAAAGCTCACAGTGTTGAAAGATGCTGACTTTGAAAAACCATTAAAAAACTATCTTTCTTATTAACCAGTCATGCTACAACAAAAGATACATTTTGCTTTATTAAAAACAAGCTACTGTCAAGTCAAACCCTCCATCCCTCCCGCCCCAAAAGAATCATTGTAGTTTACCAGTAATCTTGTTAAGTCGCGCTCTCTTTGCCTGAAATGAGGTGCCTTGGTTATTTTTCCTCTTGTTTGATAATGTGCTCTCTGGCTGTGGAAAGACCATCTTTGGAACGTTCTCTACATGAAGTCCTACTTTTAATAGAACACACATATGAGAGTTGATATAAAATCCAAACTTAAAATGCAAGAATTTTTTTTTAAATAGCAAAATAGTAAAAACGCTTTGCACTTAATTTTTTTTTTAATCTAGTGCTTGACACAGAGCTTAAAAACACACCAATCTCTCCAGACTGATATATTATGAATAAAGTACTACTGAGCTGTCGCTCTCCAGGGAAGAAGAGCAGGAAGACAACGACTTAACGGCTTCCCCACACTATATAATATAGACTGAAATACATGCAGAAGCATTTAAAAAGTTCAAGAAAACATCATAAAAAAAACAAAACAAAAAACCCCAAAACCTACTAAGTTACAAATCAAAATCTCAACTCATTTCTATTCAAGAATGTTGAGAGCATCCATTATCAAGTATCCATATTAGACCATTAATTTCAGATCTGTAAAATGCTAAAGAAGTTAACCACGATGCTATGTATGCTAGGGCGAAACGCCTCAACACTGGGCTACACGTTCCAGTTACAGGTAACCAAGGGATCTGACTTATTCATTATTCACTATGTGCATTTACCACTGCCATAAGGAATGAACGTAAGAATGTATTTTGTACCAAATGTGTCACTAGATGTGGGCAGATCTTCCTTCTTCTCCACCTCCGGTGTGGCTACAGAAGCTGAAGTTTCCTCCTTCTTTGAAGGAACTTTAAACCATTTTCTCTCATCTTTCTCTTTATCTTTATTGCTGTTAGCGCTGGTTCGAGGTTTGTTCCCTGTTTTATTCTTGGCTGCAGCTGCAGCAGCTGCCTTGACTAAAGCTATCCAATCCTCCAAAGGAAAAACACAAAACATGCGAAGCATTAAAAATTAATCAAAATTTAATTACGCTAATGAGTAAAAACATGTATCACATTTTCAAAGCTACTTTCACACACACACAAATATAAAAATCGAAATAACTATATTTACAAGGTAGATTACCAACATCACAGATTACCAAATTGAATCTAATGGGTCAGTTGAATTTATAACCTTATATAAAATAGAAAAATACTCAATAAATAAATATCCCTTTAATATAATTTCTCCGGGATAAAATCTAAAATAACACAGGAAACCTATGACAAATATGGACTACTACATGACGACATTCTCCTTAGTGCTTTAGGGTTTCAATGCCAAATTGCACTTTTCTGTACTGTAATGAACCTTAAAAGGAGTAAGAAAAAAATGCTTATGTTACAATTCCTTATTAGGAAGAATGTACCACTCCGAGCATGGTCAATTTCATAAAAATTAAGGTGTGATTTTATTAAACTTTAGAGCTTTTAAAATTCAGATACCAATGTATTACAAGAGCTTAATATTACCAGTGAAAAAAGGGAGGGGGGAAAAAAAATAGAGCTACTTGATTTGGCCAAGGTGACGAACAGTGTCAGGCTCCAGGTTAATGTCCCTCCCTCTACAACTTCCTGGGCCCGGGTTGGTTATCATTCTTCTGAGGTGTGAATATTTATCTTTCCTGTATTAATTTTTTTAGTTTGTTGCTAAATAATTTTTACTGTTTTATTTTGAACTAAAAATGCTTACTGAAAAAAAATACGGAAAGATGTAAAGGAGTGGTGCTAACATTTAAATTTTCACAATCGAAGATTTTTTTTTTAAACAAATATTTGTGATATCCCTACAGAATTAATCTTCCATAGAGGCTACTAAGCTGTCAAATAGACCGCCAACTCAGATTTAAACCAAAATGGGTAATCCATCAAATTCTTAGTCCCAGCAACTAAGAACAATTCCACAACATCAAATGCATTTAATTCATGGGTCACATTAACAAAGACAGGTCATTACACAATACAGTTGATAGCTGCTCAGTCTTGAAAATATATGAAGACAATAAGCCACAGAAAAATAAACAAAATCTTTGTCTCTCCTTCTCCCCCATGACTGAAATGAACTAAAAACATCATGTGACTGTACCTAACACATTCATTAAACCAATTTTCTATTGACTACACCACTACATGTGCCAGGAAGCATGCTAAGTCTGCATGAGACAACCGGTGATAAAAGCCACTGCCTGAAAGGCCCAGGAACACACAGACCCTGAGGCAACCACACCTCTGCTCCTGCGTGGAAAACACCCAGCTTCAAGCTTCCCCAGCATTTTAAACTGTGTCCCCAGTATACTTCTTATTAGAAAGTGAATTAGGACAAAGCTGTGAAATAAAGGTCTATATTTCTAATTTAAAAAAAAAATGCACCAGTACTGTCCAACCCGTTTTATTTACAACCACCTCTTTTTTTGGTCTTGCCCATAAGGAATTGATAGGCAAATGAAATTAACTATAAGACAATGTGACAGGAGAAACAGTAGAGGAACAAAAAAGAAAAAGATTACTTTTGACTAAAGTAAAAGAACTGGTGGAAGGCTTCAGGGAAAATGGCAGCTGAGTCGTACGCGGAGGCAGGAATTTGCTAGGGAAAAAAATGGGAGATGAAAAGGAGTAAATGGGCACTCCAAGCAGAAGGCAAACCATTAACCCCAAAGCATGGCAGTCAGAGGGGACACGGGTGGGAAACGGGTCTACCGGTCAACCTGAGGAGCTGAAGTGAGGGCTGTAAGCTGAGTCTGGAGAGCAATATTTTAGTAAAGAAAGCACCACCAATGAAAAAGACTCCACGAGAAGCAAGAGTAAGGACAACCAGACAAGCCAAGTGCTAAACTCAGCAGGGAGCACGTGTTTGCAGAACATTTAATTTTGGGCTCCACACTGTGGAGAAAATTTTAAGCTGTTAGAGAAATGCTGCAAAATGCCAGGGGTAAATTCCATCTCCAGTTGTTTTCCAACTCCAATAACGAGAAAATTAGGAGAAATCGAGACTCAAGTTGTACCCTGTAAAACTAAAATCAGATATAAAAAAAGTTCTTGATCACAAGACTTGCTAATCATGGAATCACTGCAGTCGTGTGACTAAAGAATTCTCCCATTATTTTGCTTTTCCATTTTTAAATAGGAAAGATTCACTATCAAAAATAACTAGTGGGATCAAATGAATTAGAACTAATGATATGTTTCCACATTTCCTGTAGATAACCTAACAGAGCAGCAGCAGCGCTGCCTGAAATCAGGTCTGAGAGTCACTCTGCATATTACAGTTGAGTGAAATTTTAAGTCACTCACTCAATTCTCTAAGTTCTGAATTCCTCAACTGTGAAACAGAAGTATCAGCCATACCTATGTCAAAGGATTGGCTATGAGAATCCAATAAAACCATGGTTGCTTTAAGAAATGTTTTATAAATAAAGGACCTTATAAGCCAATCTTTTACACTAGTGAGTTACAACGTCAATTTTATGTCAGCACACTCTCAACAAGAAAAAGTAGGGAAGAAAAAGTTATAGAAAGCTTAGATAGGACATTTCCATACTGCATTTATTTAATGCCTTATCTTTTGCTAGCTTAGTAAGATAAATTTTACTGTGTATCTTACTAAGGGATTCTCAAAGTACTCAAAATCCAGACAATAATATGCAAAGTTGAATTCTCTTAGCATTATCAAAACAACACCTGTCTTAGTACATCCTCTAGATAAAATAAAAGTCAAAAACTTAGTGGGAAAAAAAGATACTCATAAAATGAGAACAATTTAAAAAAAAATCTATAAATATTTTAATGTGCTTATAATTTAAGATTAAAGAAAATATACTCCTGCCCATAATTTCTTTCAGTAGTTTGTGTTTTGGCATTGATTTTAATGTTAATTTACATCATGGTATGACTAAAATAATTATTAAAACTAAATATCCAATACATCCAATAAATTAATTTTTACAGCTTATAATTTTACCACAAACCAAAGTGGTTCAATGTCTCACTTTGGAAGAAAATAAAGTTTTAGGGCTAGGGCCATCTCATGAACGCTTGAATAATGAGAATAACAAAACAACAGTTTTAAATAAAAAAATAAAAATTTTGTTTAAACGGGTATATATTAATCTTTCTATGCAGCAACCAAGAAATCACACCACTGAATGCTTAAAAGAACATTTTATTTATACATACAAGTAGGAAGACACAAAGCAATTTACTGATCAAAAGCATTTCCATTTTAAATTGCATTTACATATTAATTGGGGAAAACACTCTGCTAGCTGATCATTTTACAGTAAATTTTTGAAAACCAGGTGATTTAAAACAAATCACACTTCTCAGAAGATGTCATGAATGGTTTTTTATAATGCGGTGGTCAACATTTCTGATTACTAAATGTATATACTTGACTGGAACTGACCAGGTGATTTCAACCCATTTCAGGATGACGTTTTTCACTGCATGGTATGGAACAAATATGTAACATACTTCCATATTAGACATTTTTAGAGATTACTTTCAATTTCTTAAAATTAATTGTAGGTCCAGGTGCTGAAAATCCCAAATAACAGCAGAACATAAAAGAAAATATTTAAAATTTCTACTGGCACCTTTTCTTTCCATTATTTCAGGAAACAGTCAACCAATGGAATCATGGTTTTAACTTCATCCCAGATTCTCCTTCAAATGCTTACCGTTCATTCTCGCTTTGAGCAGTGGCAAACCATGTAACACACTGCTTATATCATGACTCAGAGAACCCTACCCGAAACAGCCTACAGAGTGTCAGGTAAGCGCCTTTTAAAAGTAGCTTAATGACTATGATTTATAGAAGAAAAGAAGAAGGTAAGAAACTCAATATGAAATTTTATATTAAAAATTAACTTTCTAAATGATACTATATACCAGGAAAAACAAAACAGAATTAAAACAAGGCACTTACCTCACTTCCCATAGACTGGTTACACGATCCAGCTGGGTCGATAGGACAACACCAGCTTAGTGGATGCTGGGATTTCACCTGGAACAGAAACTAGTGACCTATAACTTTAGCAGGTCTAAAACCAAAGGAGCAAAAATCACGTGTATAATTTACTTTACATTCTAAGCTTCTTTTTCTTGCTGCTATTTGGGGCTATCAGCACATAATCCTACAATTAGTTCACTTTAAAAATATGTATGTATAATTTCACGAGTCACCATTCAAGAAGACATCCCTTTGGGTAGCTGGGAACGCTGAGCACTCTTACCTGCCCCTTAGCGTCCTCGGGCATGGCTTTAATGTGCATTCTTTTTAAACAACGAATTACTCCATCATAAAACTGAACTGTGAATGTTCCTGAAATTGGAGCAAGTCAGAATCATTAGAAAACATAATTCAATCTTACAGCAACACTTGAAATCCAACAAGTAATGCCCTAACAGAAATAAATAATCTGCAATCGTAAGAACTGCAAACAAACAACCTTGTTCAGGAATCCATCAAGTTTATTAAATTTATTTTCTCTTTACATCTGCAATCAACTCCAATTTCCCTTTAAAAGTACCCAAATTAAATCCGAATAAGTTAGTTCATGTAATTCTGATTTTCACTGAAAGATTTTAAAATTTATTTTGTAATAATTTAAATGTGTTTAAATAACATGTCAGGTATGTTATAATATACCTGGACAAAAATAAAATCATTATTTAGAAAAATGTATAATATTTCTATAAAAATTATCATTTGCTCTTTCAAAGTTTCTTTCAAAGTAATGAAGAGGAAGATCTGACATAGGACACAATCATTTTCTCAGTAAAGAATCACTCCTTTAAAAATATTAGTAAACTGGCAAGTAAAAATTACAGAGGCATAAGCTTTAAAGCTAGAAAATCCGTTACAGGTGGTCCAGGTAAGTCTTCCTGTGCAGATTAGACCACTGAACTCCAGGAAGGCTAAACGGCATCCAACGACAGCAGGCTAGGCAGCTGCACAGCCATAACGAACCCCTGACCCCACGCCTTGCCCATTAACGAATCCTGCCTTTAGGACTCAAGATTCTGTTTGCATGTCTATTACAAAGTATATTCATTCACCTCTTGTAACATTAGTGCAGGTCAATAAAAGTCAGTTCTATTAGAAAACATAAATTACGTAGATTTTATGCTAATAGAAATTCCAATGTTCTTTCTAATAGTTCCTGTACAAATGAGGGCAGAGTGCCACGTTAAGTAAACAGATACTTGACCTTTACAAAAGAAGTATAAACAATAAATGTGATCATTGGCATTACTGGCTTTGAAGTTGGCACCAAAGCCAATGCCATATATGTGCAAAGATTTTTTTTATAATCTGAATTTCACATCTTCCTACAATTAGCATAATACACAGTATCACAGATATAAAGATCTAAACCCAAGTTATGAGAAAAACAGTCGAAAGGATATCAAGACACCGGGAAAGTTCTGCGCGTGCCAGACCTTCCGTACACCTTAGACTACCATCATTCCTGCAACCGTCCTCTTCTCTCTTCAACACGGCATCCAGACGAGAGCGGCCTGCTCCGTGCCGCCTGTGCCACCTGTGCATCCGTCCCTCCCGGCCATGACTCAGCCTCCGCTACTGTGATTCCTCCCTCCTTTCCCATCTCCAACCCACTCGTCAAGGGTCAGCTCTTCAAATCCCACCCATAATATGAAAACTTCCCTGACCACTGCAGTCTAGCCTGATATGTCTCTTCTCTTCAATTTCTCTAAGACATATTACAAATACCTAAAAGTTCACAAGTGTTGGTTCTGTTGAGCTTTTGCCGTGAATAGAAGGCTCCTTGAGGGCTTCCTTCGGGTTTTTCTGGGTTTTTTTTGTTTTTGAGAGGGCAAGCTCAAACATCATGTGGGGCATACAGAAATCACAAAGTAAATACCCCCAGCGGTGATTAAAAAAGAAACAAAAACAAACTGTATCTGCCAATACTTCACTAAGGGCTCCAACTGCCCCTAAAATGGCAGAGATTGCGCTCAGTATCAACACTCTTGCATTACTATACGTCAGGTGTCTATATTACACGCCCAGGGACCAGTGGGATAGGGTGAAGAACGAGGCTGGTTTTGTTTCTGAGTGTGCTGTGTGTGTAGGCATGCACTTAAAACTCCCAAGGAGCTTTAAGCATGGAAGGAAGGTCCCAAAGTTCACCACACTTAAAGAAACCGCTCTTAATTAAAATAGCATTGTTTAAGTTTGCTTTGTTTAATGTCATTTTGGGTGGATCCTATTAATCAACAGAACTGAGTCTTTACTTCTTCCTTTCGTTCGACATTGTTACTGACTGCCTATGCTGTGCCAGGCTCCGGACTGGACCCCAGGGGAGCCCATGTGTGTAAAATATGAGACTATGAGCTCCGTAACACAGCTCTCCTCTAGCCTAGGTACACAGGGAGATGACAGCCCCAGTAGAAAAGGAGAAGTAACCTTCAAAACTGAGATGTCCCTTAACTCTTCCTGTAGTAAGGTGATTAGTGGCAATAAAATCATTGCCCTATTTGTTATTTTACTTCATTAAAACAACAAACTGGAATAAGGCCTTTGTAAAGTTATATCATAATTTCTAGACAGACAACTGTGATTTACTTTTTCACACTTAACATTCTTTCATGTATTTCTAAATGCTCTCCTCTTTTATCTTCTCTTACCTCCTATTTTTTCTCATCTGTTGTTAGCTTAAAAGTTCAGCTTAATCCCTTCCATGGTTCCCATCACCTCCAAATAAAATTCCAATTCTTTGGCCATATTACATTCGTATACTGCTCCTTTTGCTCTCTCCACCTTCTTCTGCTCTTCTATTCCCTTTAAAGGAACCCTTCCCTCCAGTCACACCCAAGACTGCAGTTCCTGAAAATGGCATGCCTCTCGTCTTTTGCACACACCATTTCTTCTGCCAGAAAAGCCTTTTCATTCCTTATCTCCCTAACTTGTTCATCTTTCAAGCTTCAGTTTAAAGGAAGTGTCCCCTTACTTAGATTAAAAGCCCTTCTTTCAAAGAAGCTGTCATTCAATGTGTGTATCTTTAGTAAAAAGAATGAATGAGTGGTCCAGTTTAGGAAAACTAATGTATTACTGACTTGAAAAATATACTTACAAGTATTTCACAACTGTTTTAAAGGAAATTTTAAATAAGAAATTTAAAAAATAAATATATTCCCAATAATAATTATTAATTCTCATGCCTTTTCCAATTAATCAAGTCTACAAGTTCTGTTTTTTAAATTCATTATCTGTACAATAGATTTATTCATCTTATGCCACACTACCACACCTGATTATTTTCAACATTTCTGATCAGCTCAGTAACCTCTGCTCAGTACCAGCATTAGGTACCACAAACGACTATTAGGAAATTAACTCTTAGTTACCTATAGAAATTTAGGGAAAAGGGGCAGGGGAAAGATGCAATAAAGAAAATTCTCAAAATGATGAATTCTTCCCTCAGAAAACATTGTTCAGTACTTCACTTCCAAGTTGAACTAATTTGAATTTCTCTATAACTTTCCTCACATTCTGGTTGAGATCCTCATAATAATAACTTAGCTAACAAACTGGACACAGAGGAGGAGAAATAAAAAGCATACAGTATAAGCCTGTGAACTGAAAGCTGAAACATGTTAACCAACTATCTACCCTACTAACTCAAACAGTTTATTTAGACATTCATTAAAATCAGAAATACAGTTAAAATTTTACTATTCATTCCATTTTAAACCTCAGATCATTTCAGATACATACCTTCTTTGTTAATTGCTTCAATCTTGGCAGGGTAATAGCGACAGTCTGTCCAACGAGCCAGAACTTCTTCTCCGGCTTTAAAATCCTATTTTAAACAACTTTTAAGATCAATACCGTGTGTAACAAGTAAGCGTTTCCTTAATAAAAACAAGCTTTTGTAAAATTTAACAGCATTCCTTTTAAAAGATATCATTACATGTCTAGCAAACGAAAAGGCTCGCTACTTACAAAGAACTCCTCCTCGTCCTTGAGTCCTTCTTTTCTCAGCGCAGGCCTCTCGAGGGGTCGTAATCTATTGCTATCCCAGTAAATCCACTCATCGTAACGGTGACTCCAGCGCTCAAAATGGACCAACATTTTGCCCTCCTCATAGTCGATTTTTTCAATCCGTGATGGATACCTCCAAAATAAAAAGGAGCTTCATATCAAGAGAAAATTCTTACACTTGTTTACACAACACATTAAAAAGTATGAAATCTTACTGTTAAAAAAACAAACAAAATATAGGACTATATTTTTAAACTACTGAACGAAGTTTGCTTTATTGTTTTTCTTTTTTTTAATAACTGTTCTCAATGCCTAATGAAATAAACACTTTATTATTATAATACCCTCTCAGTGGAAATATCAATTACTGCATAAGAACCTTACAACATGCCTACTTTTGACCCAATAATTCCAATTCTAGAACTATATATACAAAACACTTATAATAACAAAGAAAATAGAAACCATCTAAAAATATGATTTGGTTAGCAAACTGAAGCTTGTCCATAGCTATACAAACAATGGGATATCCATTGAAGGAACAGTACAGTCTTTAAATGTGCTTACCAAGAATTGTCTACACTTTCCAATATATTACAATGAGCGTGAATGAGATTAGGGGAAGCTCAGTTAAACCTTAAATTTAAAAATATAAAAAAATAGCATCACATTGTTCTGTCTTCACGTGTGATGATTCTCCTACAATTAATTCCAAAATAGAAACCTGAGTTAACTCCAAAACTTTAAAAGGAACACTGCTTCATCCTTCCTAATGTACTGTATTAAATGTACACGACTCAATTTCCTCAAAGTATCATTAAATAAACTTAAGAACTCAATAGCAGCACATGGTAGATGATTCAGCCACAACAGTGTTATCTCACATGTTTGCTAGTTTTTGATAAATCTGAAAGTTTTCTTTTCCTCTGGAATTAGCTTAAAATATAAGCACTGCAGACCTGACACAACTTTGAAGTTTAAGAATGGATTTCCACCTGCTTTATAGATCACATGCTGTTCAATACTTTTTATGCATTTCAGGGCCCTGAATCATCCTCCGGTGCGTCTTCCCACTCTGGTCTGCTGACACTGAGCCACCTGCAATTCCCAGCACACCACAGCTGTCCCAACCGCTGCTTCTGGCGGGACAGCCTGCCCTTCCTGCCTCGCCCTGAGCTGCCTCTCCCCTCCTCTGTACACTCATCACTCAGGACTTGGTTTGGCGTGTGGTCACTTGTGTGAAGGCTTCCCCGACTCCCCTCCCCTGCTGACTGCACCCATCTCCTCGTCATCATCATCTCGTGCGGATTCCTAAACTGTGTGTGCACAGCAGCGACAGTCCTTGAGACACTAATATGTGTGACACAAGAGGAGCCCATGGTCACAAAGAAGCTGGGAAAATACTGGATTTTAAACGTTAAACTGTTGTCTTCATTGAAAGACTTCTTGGTCCCGTCAACAAGGTGGAGATAAAGCACTCACCATTACCAAACGTAAAGAACTGCGGAACCCTTTTACCAGGGAATGTTTATTAACGTTTCTCGAGATGGTAGGGACCTACAGACCAAGATGTAAGAAGCTACTCCGGCCTGAGAGCTTCGGGGTAACAGTCATGCCCAGCTTCGTGTCCCCGCCATCTTGCAGAGTCACGCGCACACACTGGCCACTCAGACCATGCTAGGCGTGAACAGGAAGGGTTGGTGTTAAAGATAATTCACACATTTTCTTCGGAACCGAGTATAACCTGAAGGTACATCTTAGTCTTTTTCGGGGAGTGGCTGAGGAAATACTCTGTTAAAGAACAGAGCCGCGAGGGGATCAGCATACTCCCGGAAGCGGCCAGTCCACTCCTTCCAAATGAAAGCTACAATCCTGGTTTTAGGCAGCACTGCTCTAGGTTGTTTGCATTTGCAGCTGTTTTTTTTAAAAAAACATAAAAACTATCAACAGCGTTAAGGGAGGCCTAGGAAGGAATAAGGTTATCCTTTCACTTATTTTTCAACATTCACTAGCCCACTGAACTACTACAAAGAGATTTTCTATCAGTTATAAAAATTGATATATTTCTCTCAAAACAAAAAAGCCTCCAATTTCACATATTTATTATCACAGCCTTTAAATTTTGAATAAAAAAAAAATGTCTATTCCTAGATTCCTTCACATTCTAAATGTACTCAACTCTATACACTTGGAACATTTCTCAAAGTGAGAACTGTCCATGGAAACAGCAGACATTATCTTTATTGTCACAATGTGATTCAATTCAGTCAAGAATCAGAATCTTAGTGAGTTCAAATAATTTAAATCTGGATTGCATTTTTAAGTAACTTAGTTTTACTAAAATACTTCAAATGCTGTTGGCTGAGAGGATGCCAGATGCAACAATCTGAGTAAAAATTATATTTTGGGGAACTTCTTCAGGATAATTTACAGCATATTATATACTCTTCACATAAATATCTGAGATTGGTATGTAAACTTTGGATGAAGGCCAAGAATTAAATAACTAACACAAATGCCCAAGATTATCTATTTTAATTTTTACAATGTTTACTACTCACCAAATGTTGGATCTTAAAGGTGTCATAAATATTACCATTACAAAGAATGTCCAAATTTCTGTTTATTCATGCAATATATATTTGGGCATCTAATAAGATCAAGGCACTTGCTAGGCACCACCAGTAGGTAAAAAGGAAACATAATTAGCTTGCACCTTTCAGGAACTTAGCTTGGGTCAGATGAGGAGAGAGAGAAGAATCAGAATATTGCCTGAGAGTCATATGTGTATCAGACTTTACATTCCGTCTCTACTGAGTGTCAGCTCTTCCTTATATACCTTATCTCAATGGATCCTAGTAACTAACCATCCAGGGTATATATAACATAGTCCCCATTTAATAGATGAACACTGCTCAAGAATACTTGTGGCAGAGTATTCAAAGCCAAAACTATCTGGCACAACAGCCTGTAGAAGAAATGGGATAAGACCTGTATCAAAGTGATAATGTCATACCTGGTAAACTGGTAAGTATATACAAAAATTGTACAAAAGATGCTATTATTGAAAGTTCAGCGAGAATTGCGAAGTTCACTGAAGGTCCCTGGGGGACACTGTCTGTGTTGGTCCTGGGTGGGGGACTTGTAGGATTTAGGCTTGTTAAACACGGGGCAAACAAAGGTAATGTGTATATATACGCAGAGCATGCTTCATTTATTCACTCAGTGCTCCTTTACTTAAAACCATCACGCAACACAGTCAGTCAGACAATGAGTGTCCAGAGACAAGTCCTGTACTCAAGGACCTTATGATCAGAGATTGGAGGGGCACTTCAGTTTGGAGGGGACACAGTTCCCTTTGGCTATACTATAGTAAGTAGGAAGATGGAAAAGAATAGTGGGACATGAAATCGAACTGGTTAGCTAGGTTCAAGCTAAAGGGCTTTAAAATAGCAAACTAATAAAATGGCCCTTTAGTCTACAAACAGGTAATTCCATCAAGTTTGGGCTAATTTTGGTTATCAGTTACACTCAGGAAAAAAAAATCCTAACATCAATATCTTTGCAATACACGTTAAAATGCAGAAAATAGCAATTTAACATATAGCTTTATACAGAGAAATGATTTCCCTGTTTTAGCAGATGGCCCATAGTAATAATGCTTTGATGCACACAGTAAATGAAAAACACTGTTGAACAAATGCATGCACAAATGTTTCTCCATCTTGAATTACAGCAATATTATTTTGATGCACTATTTATATTTTATAATAATTTGAGTGTGAATGGAACATAAGAGTTTTCGTATTGATTTGGAAGATGTAGTGGTAATGTTTTAATTTTGTCATTTTTTAAAAGGCTGAATCACGGAAAGCTGTTAAAGAATAATGATTAGGCTGAGTCCCAGATATTTATAAAAGATTTAAGAAGTGAAAGACAGGTTTCAGAGTTAAAACAGTAAGGGACAGGAAGAAATGCCATAGCTGGCATCTCTCAAGTGTTGAAAAAAAAAAGACATGGAGAGAAGGCAACCTCACTAGCAGTACGATTCCTCAATGCCAAAATTCTACACTGAGCTCTCGTACCCTTTATCATCTGTTACTGTCAAACACCACAAAATGTCCACTGTCTATCTTCCCTATTATAATCCCACTTTCAAGTGCATGCATTGTTTAAATGATATTTACTTGTGCAGAAAATACGGGATTGCCTCCATTGCTCTGGGTCCACCTTGCTCTCAGATGTCTTTTACACCTGAATCCTAGAGAACAGTTCACTCTCAGCAATCTTAAGAAAAGTGACCCACCCTAAAATTGGTTCTTTCTGGTTTATTAGGCTTAATGGAAACAAAAGGCATTCAGAAATACTGAGACTTGGTAATGATGCTTGATAATTTAACAATTTTCATACATGCAATTCTGCCACTGTAGTCTCTCAATTGATTTCTTGGGACCCTTTTTGAATCACTGTGGTCAAAGTGTTCTAAGGGTCCGTTAAACTGGGGCTACTACTACAGAGTAGAGCAAGGCCATTCCCAAGAAGAATGGTGATTATTTTTACCTACTGTGAACTCTTACAGCACTTTGTTGTCTTATCAGATAACACCAGCATTTTAATGCCATCACTCACTGGTGCTTCCCACTCCCAAGATTACTGGAAACATAACCATATCTATGGATTCTGGACTAAACACGTAATCCAATAAGAAACAGGTATTATTAACCAAAATGGTTAGCTACACACTGAATACACTGCAGCAGTTCCCTATAGTCCCAGCTCTTCAGTGTTGACAACACACAGAGGATGTGAGAAGCCTAAAATGGGAATGGCTCACGCGGCTGTTTCAGATGGGCAGGTCCTGACTCACCCAGGTCGGGAGGCTGCGATGCCCTGAGGCAGGAGGCAAAATGCTGTGTGCCACGGGAGGGACGTGGAGTACAGTGTGGGAGTGGAGTCAAGGGATTTGTAATAGATATGTATGATATTGGGGGGAAATGGGGCGGCGGATTGGGGGAGGGGGGTTGTCACTTCGAGGGGTAAAAAGTATAACTATTGCACTGTGTTGTACAGCTGAAACTAATTCTAAAAAGTGTGTATTTCATAATAAAAAATAATTTAATAAAAAAAAAAATG